CCCGATATAGAAAGGGGGGAGACATGAGCCAAAACATATCCCACATTTTTTCCCATTAACAGCATAGGTTTTGAATCTAACGTGGCGCCAATTAGGTTGCAATCTGAGGCTAAAAATAGCTCGCGGCGGTGCGCCGGAACGTGAGGACAGCAGACGCCGGCGTGCTGGAGCTGGTGTGTGATTTCACTTGTAATCACGTGAAGGGAAATATGAGGGTATTCATCTACAGCAGGTTTGTTGTGAAAGTTTACGAGTCAAACGGAGCCTCAAAAATGTCCGGCCTTTACCTGGCGTGATATACTGAGGGCCTATTTTGGGCCGGACCCAGGTATGCTTGGCCCTGTCAGTGCGGTCGGCCATTTTTTTTTTTCCCCCCCTCCAGCTTTCAACATTCACTTCTCTCTTATCTGGCCGGTGGAGAGCTGGAATGAGGGGCATGCGGGGCTTCAGGCCTACCTGTTTACGCTCAGGGCTTCCTCCATTGTTCCCCCTCCAGCTTCCTTTTGCAGGATTTTTCACATTTTTGTCCTTGTTGTTGTTGTTTTGGGAACAGAACAGGGGGCTGGGATCACGGGAGCCTCCCGCGGCATTCCTGGATGTCTGTCTGGTCGAGCTCAGCGGGAATTCTTTCCTACGGCACATATCGACTTTTTTTCGTGCACTCCTGAGATATTTTTAAAAGCGGTAAACTAAACACTATGACATGAGTGTAATCACATTATCCCTTTTATACTGAGCCGAAACCTGATAACCTTTATATATGCCTTTGATTCCTTTGGTTCAGCCCCAGGTTTACTGTGGAATGAAGTCATCTCTTACACACTAATCCCTTTTACTACAGAAATAGACTTAGTCCATTCCGCTTTTGGCAACTGTTATGCAACTCACGATAGTTTACGGGTAAGGATATACATGACCACTTAATACCCCCAGTAATGCGCTTCAACCTAATCTAGTAGAGTCTACTACCCTTATAAACTCAGTTGTATTTCTAGAACAAGCACTAATTAATTTCGTGCAGAATTCTTTAGAGACTATAAACGTCTCAATATCTGTTTACTAATGTGAGGATGCTAGTAGCATTTTATGTGTATCCCTTCTTAACGTGCAGCACATTTCAGTGCTCACTTCACCCAAATTATTATCCAAAATTAATCTCTGACATAATAAAGTCATAATATAACAGGTTTTTTCATCTAAGGATCACTTATAAAAGCCAGTAGAGGAATGGTTTTCACCCTCCCTGTGGAAAGCAAATGCTTTTCCCTGAGGGTCCTGAGAATTGAGCGCCCCTTAATCCTAATTACCTAAAGAGGTTCTTAATGAGCTTACAAGCCTGTTTGAATATTACAGCTGGACACTAACTTACCATCTGCTGTCAATAGAAAAGAAAAGCGGTATTCACATTTTCAATTCAATGTTCTGGACTGACTATATTCCTATTTTAGTCCGGGATGAGAGTCAATTGTTAGAAGACACAAGACGACACTGTGTTTTGGTTTTACAAAAATTTCCATCATCATCGAACATGCATTCATTGATGAGAATGTATATTCTAGTTTTTCAAGTTCTAACATAAAACGCATCATTCAAGAGGAATAGGTCCTCCCACCACTTTTTTCTGCGTGTTATGATCGCTGCAGTGCACCTGCAAGACGCACTTTCCTGGAGCGGATTTCAAGCTTTGCACCTGCAGAGGAGATTAGCTCTGAGCAAAGATTAAGCAAATTACCAATGATGGTGTCTCCAGAAATAAACACATAGTGTGCACTTAGAGCAACAGGCAGTCATGATGTAGCGGACGCAATCCCATTTTTCGGATCTTTCAAAAATGTTTTGGAGTTAAACGATGCTCACAAAGGTAAGTTCCTTTGGAAATCATATCATTTTGTAATTTAGAGTTAGTTTAGCTGACCAACCCTCTCATATGGAGCATGGGGTTGTGTGTGTTACCGGGTCTACTTTAATTTCTCTCATTGCTAGCTACGTTTATTTTTTGGCTTAACAATATTCAGAAAGCTAAATCTTGTCACAGGAGATACCTGCAGTGCTACGGCTACACCTGACTTTAAACATATAATGGAAATGGAGAAAAAAATATTAAATAGAAAACACTTGAATAAAGAGAAAACACATACTTAATAAAAATCTATTTAAAATATCAACATTGACAGTGCATTAGAATAAAATTGTCTTCTTTTTAATCCTTTTTTTAAATGCAATTTTTTAAAACTATACATTAAATAATAGGGGTCATTAATAATTAGAGAAGACGTAAATGTGTTACAAGATTGGGATAGGAGACTTCTCTGGAACCTTCTTCGGCCCAGTGACAGCTGGCGTAGGTTCCAATCTCCCTGCAAAGCACGGATGGATAAGATAGGAAGGATGGAAACACATTTCTTTTTTTCAACTCCTATATACAGCCTAAAAGAAACAAATAGAAAATTATCTTTAAACCAGTTCCTCATCAGCCACTGAGCTGAGCTGGGCTTTTATGTCAAGAAATCCAACAAGTGAAAATGCTTTTTCTGATCGGTATTTTGGAGAAGGCAGGTAGCATCACCTGATGGCCAACGGCTAACCGAGTAAACAACATATGTTTGCCAGATATCGCTCAGCTGGTAGGGCCAGATTTAGGCTGCCCTGTGCACGTGATCTGTTTTTGTGCAATTCGCCTCTCAGGAGTGGATTAAACAGGGAAAATTCACTTCGTCAAAAACAATTCAACTTTGTTTACGCAGCTGTTTAATGTGTTGTGGTTTGGAATATCTTAAAGTTTTCTACTACAAAAACCAAATCAGCTTGTCATGGAGCGTGAATAAACTGTTCTAAAAGCAGGAAAAAGTTCAAATCTAATTCAGAGAATTATTTAATGACTAGTTTGTCAAAAAAATTAAAGTGGGAAATCTGACCAGAGAGATGGGTTCAGGAAAAAGGTTAAATGTTGGTTGTTTTCAAAAAGGAAAGGCACTTTATCATCTGCCCACCTAAACCACCATCCTTCTCAGTTGGGTTTATTGGGATGACTCAGGAGGGGACAGTCTGAGCTCTTTAAATCAGGCTTCATTCAGGTCAGAGGGGGGAATTCCCCTTTTCCTTTCTAAAAGTCTTACACTACCTCTTTGTCTCCGCAGGCGGTCAGTCGGTGATAATGAATGAAACGGGGTTTCGTCGGACCCTCCCTGATCAGTTTTCAGGGAGCGGGCCCACCTTTGACACTCCACGCCACCCGAGCGTCATCGACCCGATCCTATCGAAGCGGGTCTGCTTCTACAAAAGTGGAGATCCTCAGTTCAGTGGGCTGCGCATGGTCATCAACAACCGGACGTTCAAAACCTTCGATGCACTCCTGGACAGCCTCTCCAAAAAGGTTCCCCTGCCCTTTGGGGTGCGGAACATCACGACTCCTCGTGGGATCCACGGGATCCGTACTCTAGAGGAGCTCGAGGATGGGAAATCTTACATCTGCTCCGACAGCCGCAAAGTCAAACCCATCAATCTGGCCCTGGCTCGGAAGAAGCCGCCACCTTGGTACCACGCCAGGCCTCTTAGCCCCGGTCAGCGGGCCGTGCCGCTGGCCAGGTTTCTCCCCGGTCGGGGCGTCCGGAGGCAGGGGCCAACGGCCGTGCGCACACCGCGGAGACTTGTGGTCTATCGTAACGGAGACCCATCTGTAAAACACACCGTGGTGCTTCCTAAAAAGACTGTGGCAGGTTATGAGTCCATCCTGGACCACATCTCAGAGCTGATGCAGTTCCATGTGATTAAACTCCACACTCCTGACGGCAGACGGGTGAGTGCTTCTCCTATCACTCTATAGCTACCCTATGGTTGATTGTAAGATTAATGAAGAAAACAAAAGTCTTCAGTTTATTTAAGAGTCATTAGTCACCCATGAAGGATTTACTTACTAACTTACAGTCACGCGAGGGGAGAAAGTGTTAAGCGTCTTGGCCATCTCACCTCAAACCCTGAGGGCCATCTTAAACACTGCGCTGCACGTTGCTGAGCCCAATATCAATTACAAATCTGAGGCCTGCCGTGGTGGCAAAATGCCATTTTCATAGAGTATGCGTTCAAATTAGCCACACGCATGCATTTGACTTGCATTTATGAAAAAGGGAATCAAGTGAGGGTTCATTTACTGCGGCACACCTTAAATGAGACTAATTCATCTATTTTTCTTCCCGTTGCAGATCGATGGACTTCCAGGTTTGATCTTGTGCTCTGGGATCGTGGTGGCTGTAGGAAGGGAGCCTTTCAGGCCCGCAGTGTACAGTGAGGAGAAATCCCCGGTGCCAGCCGGGCAGAATACCAAAGCAGTGAGACTCAGAAAACAGAAGACGTTGAACCGTAAGTTTATACATGAACGACCGTTTTTGATAAGTAGTCACAATATGTTGTATATAGTTCATGAGTTCACTTCTCCGACACAATTTGAAGAAGTGTGTCAGTCCATTGCTATTACAATTACACATATAGATATGTCTGTCATAATCGACCTGCCTCAAGGGATAAAGCTTGGGAAAGTGCTGAGGCATTAATACTGCACTTAATACAGTAGATGACCTAGATGCACAGTCTACTGGCTGCTGGATATTGCTTTCGACGAGCCGGCCTTTCTATCGTCCTAACTTTATTTTTTCTTCTCTCTTCCTCCTTATGTCTCTCCGTGATCAACCGATTGAAACATTTGGATATTTCCTCTTGATTTTCAAACTTTTGCTGGAATATTTGCGGCTCGCTTGACTTTTCTCAAAAGGTAAAAAGAAGTCCCCATCACACTCGTCCAAGTCAAGAAATTTCTCTGCGTCTTCCGAGAGGTTCATCGTTCATCAGATTCACAACACCGTTGCGAGGAGTTCAAATGAACTGCCCAGTCACGGGACTACCTCTGCTGAGCTGGATTCAAACCTCATACTGGAGTCTGTGGCAGAGACGGGGGAGGACGCCTGCCTTGGCGATGGAGCCCAGGTGCAGGACGAGGACAACATCGAGAAGTCCTTCCGGGTGAATCAGGACGGCAGCATGACGGTGGAGATGAAGGTGCGGCTGACGATTAAGGAAGAGGAAACGGTTCACTGGACGACCACCCTGACACGCTCAAGCATAGCCGAGCAGCTTAATGACGCCTGTCTCACGGAGCCTGAGGAGGAGCAGGAGATCTGCTCATCCAAATCAAACTCGCTCCGGTCACAGAGTCCTTCTGCTTCCACCGACACCACCAACAACGGCAAAAATAAGGACCACGATGACGACAACCCACCATCACTGGGCAATGGAGCTATGGGTGACAGCGGTCAGGGGGAGGAAGACACCAAAAACCACACAGACGCGCTTTCCCTAAAGAGAGCCCCTACGCCAGGATACAAAAGAGTGAGCAAACAACAAGCTTCCGTGAGGAGTATCAAATCTGTGGCAGGAGATGGCGTTCAAGAAGGATTAGTGGGCTCTTACTCCTACAGTGAACATACAGGAAATGGAACAATGACGGAGGAATACTGCATGGTGAAGCAGAGCACCACCCGACCGGTGCCCAAACCCAGGCGATTTGCTTCTGCTGATGCCAACAGTAGAAATATGTCTGCTTACCAGTTCGAAGAACAACCAGAGAGGCTGCGGGAAGAGTCTAGTGGGGAGGAGGTTACTGAAACAATCTTACACATTTACGAACAGCAGACTTGTCAGGATAATCTCCAAGCAAATGTTAGTGCACACAGTATGTCGGCATCCAGGGTTGGTTTTGGTAGGCCACTTACCTCAGAAACCGGACAGCTCTCTTCAAATAGCGAATCAGAACTCCAACGCTTGAGGCCCTCAACTGCCTCTGAGTCAACTCGGATCTGGAGAGCTGAGAGCATGACAGTAACATCAGATTCACACTTGGAGTCGGTGAAGGCCAGCACAAGGCAACAACTCCAAAGGGTCACGAAAGGCCGCATTAAGCCTCAGCTAAAAGCAAACACTAAGGACCAGTTGGTTTCCTTTCAACCCAACGTGACCAACAAGCACGCTCGCAAAGCTAGGATCCCAAGAAAGCCACAAAAAGGACATTCTGCAGAGGCAGCTGACACTCGTACGAAAGCAAAAACTTTCTCCAGCGCGGGGTTCATTAAGAAGATTTACGGACAGAAATCTAAATCTGCAAAAAGTATGAAAAGATTTAAAAAGAAACCGATGCAAAACAGGGAGCGGCCAGCACTGGATGCTACGTTAAAAACTGTTACAGACTCAGATTCACCATCAGGGTTAAAACAAAAGACAAGTAGCAGGGTTTCTTTTGAAACAAATCAGATGAGAGCTCCCTCTGCTTCCACTGAGGAGGTCGGCCCCTCAAGAGGCATCCTGAAACATCAGACATCATTGCGTCTGGAGAACAAAAGTGAAACTGAATCACTTGACATAAGTCAAAGCATGCCATTGCCTGCTTTTAACTCCTCCGGCTCTGTGACTAAAGAGTATGTAAAAACTTGGCTGGAGAGAGCCAACCGTAGCCCCCCATTTTATGTAGATGAGAAAAGTAAGAAACTGGAGGTGGTTACGCATGCACACACTGAAAATGTTAGACATGACGATTCTGAAAACAAACAAAGTCTTGTTACAGCAGCAAATGGGGCAGGGGGGGCACCAGAAGCTTCTGAGAGTCTGGCATCGGTCAAACTAAGAGTCCGGTCTTTTGAAAGCAAATCCAGTCTTTCAGTGGAGAAAACTCCCGTCGGTCAGAAAAGTCATGACACTGCACACACAGAGAAGAGCAACAGTGTGTCTCGTAAAAATTCACAAGAAGCAAACCCCCGAGAAGTGGGAAATCCAGTCAGGATCCCGAGTGCAACGCTTACCGATACACTTTCAATGGAGCAGCAGCCACCCCCCCCTGAAAGACTGAACACTGGACACTGCACTATGGACGCACCACCCGTGGGCAGCGATGCGTCGTACAAGCTATCACCCATTGCCGGTAAAAGATCTGATAAGCATCCACTGCCTGTGGGTCCTACCTCTGAAAAGGAGAAATTACCAGCTGACAACACGCTGGAGAAAACCTCTGCTCAGACGGACACTCCTGCTACACCACAGTTATCCAGAACTCCATCCACGAAAAGAGCTCCTTTGGTCAGCAATCACTCTCTTGAAAGGAAAATGTCTTTGAGAAGGGCTTGCGTGGATAAATATACGTTAGCCGATGATTCTGATGAGGAAACGCCTACATCACCCACTACAGATAACATCTGCCCAGGGGAGTCACACCAACCAACCAAAGTTCAACCGCGGGAGAGCCAGCCCTCAGATTTAGATCTGATGTGCTCTACCTCTCTTTGTACGTCTGCGTCCCCAAGTAGTTTGACATCGGAAGAAAGAATGTCATCTGACAGCGTATCGTCAAGCGAGCTTTTAGCTAAAGACAGAAAAATGACCAACAGAAATCAAGAGGAGCCTCCATCGCCTAAAACACCTGTGAAAAGAGCACAGCCAGGCAGCAGCCCCTCTCCAGAAAGGAAATCTCCAAAGAAGTCCCCAACTAAGCTACATAGTAACTCTCCAAAGTTGCCCGCAGTACAAAGTCAGCCTGTAGATAAGACTCTCCCTCCAAATATCGGCTCCCAAAAACGTGCCACACCAAATTCCAGCCCCGCAATTGATAGAAAGCATCCCAAAGCAAAAGTGCAACAGGGAGCTTCACCTTATTCTCAGTCTCTGGACATAGCATCACCACCTGTCAGGCACAAACCGAACAAGCTTCTGCCCAGGAACATCTCCTTTGACAGCCCACTAGAGCCAACGAGTAACGAACGAAAGAAAACATCCCCTCAAACTTGCAGCCAAGAAACACCGCGGTCGGGAAAATCCACAGCTGAGCCGGACAAAGCTTTTACCTGTGACGTTCTCACGCCGCTGGGAGCAGACGAGAGCCATGAGTGCAAGGAACAAGACGGATTAGACGTGCAGGTAATACCATATCAATTAAACACGGCGGAGCAGCCCAACCTGAAACCAGTCCTCGAGAAGATATGTTACTCAATTAAATCAATCAGACGAATCACCCAGAGCAAACGCCCATCGTGTCTGGAAAAGTCCAACAGCTTGCCTGACTTCTCCTCGCACGTGGCCTCCACGTTTGGCTCCTCATCCAAGGCCCTTCTCGCCTTCTTGTCTGTCATGACCCTGAAGGAGGGCTTAAATAACCTGAATGTGGACGAGCTGAATGCGAGCCATGTCAGCTGTGCAGAGGCTTTGAAAATGATTGATTCTCTCAGGGAAATCGCCAGCATTGAGGATTCCCACACGCTGAAAACCAGTCTGACTAATTTGCAGCGGTCGGCCTCGAAGCACCTCCTGCAAAGCTGGAAGGGGTTTCAGGAGTTCAGTGAAAGATGTAGAAGCCGCAGCTCAACGCCAAATGCTTCGGAACCAGACCTTAGAATCGAGACTGGTCCTGAACAGAACTATGACATTGAAGGAAACGTTATCAATGAGATCATGGATAATCTGGACATTCCTGTAAAGCTAAAGGAGGAGCTGGCATCTCTTTCAGATGCTGAGAATGATGGAAACATGTCTTACATGATTACTGAGACATTGGAGCTGAAGAAAGAAAAAGAAGAAAGTCATAAAATCATAAAATATAATCACAGTGAAGACGCCGTTTCTCAGGACGAGAAGGCTAGCACTGATCTGCAGATCAACGTAAAAAAAATCACAGACATCAGCCAGCCTGACTCTGAAATGGGAAGTCTTAACGTGCTCACGGACTCAGCAGACCTCAGACTAAGCGACCGTACGTCCAAAGAGCAGAAAGGTCCAGACCTGCTGGATTCTGTGACTGAACGTCCGCCAGCTGAACCAAAACAGATTTCTCGGGACAGCCAGCTCCACAATACAATATCATGTGAGGATATGGTGCACCAAGAAAACCAGGATCATTTAACACAACAGCAGGGTCACAAAGATAAAAAATCAACCCAAGAGAAGGGGACCAGAGACACAGATGCAAGCAACTATCAAAACCTTGAAAGAGACAGATGTGGTGTCAGCACAGAGGAGCAAGAAATGGATCCTAGGCAGCTACAGGAAGAGCATGAGCAAAACAAGCCTCAGAGCAAGTTCTACCATGAGGAGGAATCTGATTCAGATGAAGAAGAACAGGAGATGTCGAATGCAAATAAAGATTTGAACAGAAAAGAGAGCCTTGGTCCTGATTCCGATGAGGAATACGCTGAGGTCGAACAGGAGGGAATAAAACAAGAGAGTGATGAAGGTGAGGACTTGTCCAGACCCGAGAGTGACCCTGAGCAGGACGAAAGCCAACCAGGCTCTGGAAACACTGCGGAGGTGAACGATATGGGGAGGAAAAGCATTGGCCACCTGGTTAGTGAAAGCCAGCATTTGTCTGAATGTGAGACCCCCGAGGGGCAGACAGAGACGGGCAGTGTGGGACCCGATACCAGCAGTGATGTGAGCACCAGAGGCTCAGATCCAGAGGAGCCGTCATCCGAAGAAGAGCTGCCGGCGGTAGACTCCAAGAAACTGCAGGTCATACCTGAGGAAAGTTTGTCTGGCACTGAGGAGGAGCAAGAGGAAGAGCACTGTCACATTCTTCCCAAATTTGGGGAGCAAACCAAAAAAGGCAGGAGCTTAGAGGCTTTGATAGAGGAGACAGAGGTTAGCTCAGAAGATGGGAGTCTTACTGATGAGGCCCCAAAAAGCCAGAGCACTTTTACCAGTAACGTGACAGAAAATCTGGTTATTTTGTCAAAAAATAGCCAAAACTATCGCAGCAGTTTGATTATATCAGACAGCTTAGAAAAAGACTGTAGATTCAAGGCAGATGATGATAGCGGGAAGGACCACAGCAGCTGCGAGGAAGACGAGGAGCAATTGCAGGGTAAAGATGACCGCATCCGCGACTCCACTGAGGTGGAATTAAGCTACTCTGAGAAGGAGTCCAGCTCAGACGAGGACCAAGGCACATACCTGGAGGAAAGCTTTACACCTCATCGGGAAGCTCCGGTGACCACGCAACCTAAAGCCACGTATTTCGACAAGGTTATGGCAAAGCTCATGCAGTCACCCGTAGAAGTCCCGACCCACTCCGTCGCAGAGAGGGTGATTCTCCTGGAAAAGCAGGTTGCCGACTCCCAGAAAGCAAAACCAACACCTCAAAGTTCAACCGTTGGACGTCCGTCGCAAAGAAAGGCCCAACCGGAGTCGGATGAGGATTCAGCCTCTGAGTCTCCGGCCCACGAGGCGGCTATCTGCACCCGGTCAGCCCCTCCGTCGTCGCTGTCTTTCAGCTACGACTCCGGCGGAGCAGTGACCACAGAGCCTGAGGGCAGGGTCAGGTCCATCAGGGAAATGTTCTTGGCAAGGAGTGCCACGAACATCCAGCAGAGGCACGTCCCAGGTGCGGATGAGTGTCAGTTAAGGGCCGAGACCTCCGGCAGCGGTGGCTATCAGTCTCAGACCTCAGGCGAACTGTCCAGTGGGGAAGACGACACCGTACGAAAATCCATCGCCAAAGGCTTTGTGAGGAGAACGATAGAACTGCTTTACGGCAAGAAAGACGCCAAGCCGGAAGAAGCGAGCGAGAGACCTCCGTCTGCACCCAACAACACAAAAAAGGAGCATTTGAGCATCTTCTCTCCATTTCACGCCGTTCGATCCAAAGCGGGGTCTGAAATGTCGTACTTCAGCTCCTCTGATGCCCTGGACGCCTTCAGTGAAGCAACAAGGTGCATCGCTTTCCATGCCCAGGTGGGGCCTGTAGACACTGTTCCGATCGATAAAGCCCAATGGCTCCTCCGAGAGAACATCCTGATGAGAAAATCTGTCTCGGATCCAGTCGGCATCAATAAAACCTTCTCGAACTCTCCACCTGATGAAGGACTGTGTAAAGACACGGAAGAGAAGAGTCCATACTCGCTCTTCAGCTCAAAGTCAGAACCGGACGACGTAGCCTCGCCCGGAAAGTGTACCTACTTCTCTCTGCCGCACGCCAACGACTCGGAGGTCGGTCTGGATGAACAGAGCACGGTGAGCAGGGGCAGTGGGAACGGGGACAGCCTCGCGGAGGACAGGGAGCCACCGGGGGACACCAAAATGTGGGCGGAGAGGAACGGCATCCTGCCCGGCATCCCGATCACCGACTTCAAAGTCAAGGACAACAAAGTGCACCCACTGATCGAGTTCCCACCCGATGGGGAGGTCGTGCTGGTGCAGCCCGGGAAAGGCCACGGCGTTGTCCAGAGAAGGCTCCCAGAGCCCGATTTGTTGGACTTAATGTATCATTTTTGTGGCGAGCATTGTCCCATATTGTAAAAACCATCCTTGATGTCTTTTTTTTTTTTAAGGTACCGAACGATTTGTCATTAGGTACACATCACTGGGCTACAGTCGAACATGTTGAATTTTGTGCCTACATTTTGATGTTGCCATGGCGTCGGCATTAAACGCGATCACATGTCAGCTCTTCCAGAGCATCAGCCCCGAATTAAGCGCGTGTTCCAGTTTGTGCTCCGTGGAACCATCTCCCCGGTCGTGAATTTGCCATGCAAACTCCAGAGCAGCTTTTGTTTTGTTTTTTTTCTCCATTGCCTGTCACGAGAACAAGCAGCCAGAGTATTACTGTAATCTTATTTTAAACTCTTTAAACAGATCAAGGCCCTGCGGATGTCAGGCAGAAGGCCAATCCCAGCTTCTCTGAGCAAAGCGCTCAGCTTTGGGTTGCAGCTCGGGTTCGGCCCGGAGATGAAATTACAGTGATGCTTTTCTCACGATCAACCTTAGAAAAGAAAATGTGGCTGTACACTGGCTCTGTATGGTGCAAATAAGACATTTCTTTGTGTAGCTCAACCTGCCATTTATCATCATGTTGTTATATCATTTAAGGCAGCTGTAACCTTTTGGTCTTTTTAAAACTTGTGTATAAATAAAAGTGAGTGTTTACAACTATTTGTCTTTTTCTTAGACTGAATATAGTCCAAATTCTTTTTATGAATCTTGTCAACGTTTTTATTTATTGACCAGGATGACCCTGCATATTTTTTAAAAGCTGAGGAGGGGACGTTGTGCTCAAGATATGTTAACAAGCTCAGCTCTGTTGTTTCTCTTCCTGATTCATATCTGAATCTCTTAGGAGGAGTAAACGGAGACCTCTGTTTTCTCTCCCTGTTTGAGGAAGTATTGGTGTTGTTCTAAGGTTGTTTTGCTTCTCAGAAGTTGCCATCGAGCCGGCCTGTGTTGTGACAGGAGCGGCGAGGAATGCACTAAGCAGGGGTGTGATTGTACCCCCAACCAGAAAGATAAAACATCTTACCCTTTAAAATGTCTTAAGTCCACAATACGTTCCCGAAATGACAAGGCAAACCTAGACATTTTTACAGATACGACACACCATCAACCACTAGATGGCGTGGAAAGTCAACAAAGCACAAAGCAGCATCCCAAATGTTTTACATTGTTTATTTAAATAAATATTTACATAACAGCTTTGTATAAATCAAATTTCTTTCTCTTACACAACACATCTCTCTAAAAGCAAACACTTTAATCATAAGTAAGAAGAAATAAGGGATGGATTACAATGATGCTGTTAACCTGTGTTGAGAGTTCTTCTAAGCCTTCGTCATGATCACCCAGAGCTGCTTTCAATCATGAACTCTGAACGTTGTTGATATTTACCAACGCTGAAATACCATTTCAGACATGAGCCATAAGACCTCGCTCGTATTCTGTTATAAATCTCATTATAGTAGGCAAAAAATCTACATGATTATTCGATATATGTTTTAGTTCATTGCTAAGGAATAAAAGCATGATCCTCTACGCTAAATGAATAAAAAGCTATAGGCTGCTTAGAAGAAAAACATGACGAATAAGTAAAGAAAAATAAATCGACGTCTGAAGCGAAAGACAACCTCGTGAGAGCTGACAGACACCACTCGCACAGTAAAGGCTACAATGCCCTGCTAAAAAAGGTTTACAGTATATGGCTCGGCTCGGAAAGAAACAGCCTCTCGGGCCAGGTGATATAAAAACGATTAGAACACACGATGAATGCCCAAGCTACAGTCCTAACTCACAACCCTTCAACCACTCTGGTGTGCAGCTGTGCTCCTAGAACACATCTGGAGACGATTGACCGTCGGTTTTAAACGAAACACTTGGGGGGAATAAAAAAAAAAAAAAACAAGGTTAAAAGTGTGTGAAGACAACAGAAAATAACCATCGTTATGAAGCAGTGATATGCTCTTTGTTTCTATTGCTCTCAGGTCATGCATGTAAACTGGATTCCTCTAATATAACCAATTGTTTGCTTAAAACTGTGTCAAGAAAATACTTTTTTTTTTTCAAAATACCACGTAGGGAGGAATTAAAGGGTGAATTCATAAATTTCTCAACAACGCGTTGGTTTTATCCTGAGATTGAAATCGCTGTGTAACATCTTCAATTTACAGCCTGTGGGTAGTGTCAGACACCGGTTGCCGGGCGGATCGGGGGGGGGGGGGGGGGGGGGGGGGAAGAACCCAAGGCCCCCCCGTTCGGGCGGCCATACCGCGGGGGGCTTGGGCTGGGACGGCCGCGTCCCGCTCACAAAGTTATAGACCAAAAACTTGGAGGTGCCGAAATAGTGCGTGGCGAAGAGTTTCCCGTCGGGGGTGGGGTCCGAGAAGGCGATCTCGTCCTTGCTCAGGTAGGAACCGAATATGAAGTTGTTCCTGCGCGGGAGCGGGGGGAAAAAGAAAGAAGGAAAAGAGCATGGGTTAATGGGTTAACTTTTGGGCGAAGACGGAAACGGTGGTGTGGGCGGGGCCAACCTGAGGCACTCCAGCATGCGCGAGGCCACGCCCTGCCGTCTCATCACGCTGACCACCCAGATGCGGCTGATGCCGCAGATGGCCGGCTCGGGCGTGGTGGAGCAGCACCAGGCCCTCTGGCGCTCGAACATCACCTTCTCCCCCTCCGAGCCCTCGGGGAGGGGGTCCTCGATCACCCTGTAGCCCTGGGAGCAAACGCCGGGCTCAGCCCACTCCAAACCCACCAAACTCGGAGAAATTTCGGCCGATACATACCTCCTGGATGTGCTCCGCTATGAGGCATCCGGCCACTTTCTTGTCGATGGAGATGAAGAGGAAGGTTTTGGTCTGAGAGGGGCACTTTGTCTCCACCTGCTGGAAGCCCAGGTCGTTGTCCACCATCTCTCTGATCTCCTCCACCTGAGTGGCGTTCGAATTAAAAAGGCATGTAGACGTTTAAGGCTTGACCGGTAAAGTCTGACGAAGGCCGAGGGTCTGGAGGCTCACCTTCTTCAGAGCGTATTTGGGGTCGTCGGGCAAGACGAGGATGATCTTGCCGTCGGGGTACTCGGCCAGGATCCGCTCCTTTTTCCATCCCTAGAGAGAAAAAACACACCCTATTTCCACCTGATTGGATTCAATACTTACTTAATTCATTACTTCTCTCCCTTGACCTCCAGCTTTACTAGCCTGGTGCCAAACATGCTCATTTCTGATTTTCTAATGAGGCATTTGTGTTCTTTTGTTCAGATAGTGACTTGATGGTTGTTGTTATATTTATATATTTAAACACACATGCCTGAAATTACTCAGGAAAAAAATCATAATTGTATTGAGCTCCATTAATAATGCTGTGAAGTCACATGTCTGTAAGAGAAATTGAATAGGAGCTCACCAACGGCCTCCAGTCTCTGACACACATCTGTTTTTTTCTCTTTTTCTCTTAAAGCTTAATATGATCGTGATGGCCGAGACTGGCTTTCTCTTTGCAAGTTGAAAAAAAGGTATGAAAACAGTGCTCTTTACTGTGTTTCTAAAGGTGGGGTGCGTGCTGGCAGGCGCCCGGCGGCCTCTCACCACGTATTTGACGGCACTGATGAACTGGTTGTGGAACAGCAGATGCTGAGACTCGTCTTCCGGGTTGGCCGCAGAGTAAAGCATCCCGCACACGCTGCAGGCCACCGCTCCGAAATGCTTCTGACCGGCGTCCTGTCAGGCGAAAGGAGAAAAGAAAAGCCTCGTGACTTAAAGGGGATGAGGCAAAAGCACCCCGATTTCTTCTTCTTACATGTGTTACTACAGAGGCAAACCTTTTGGGGAAACCCCACACTAAATATGTCAGACTTTCAACAGATTTCTGCATCGATCTCTAGAAATGTCCCGCTTTCTTGTCCTGATCACCGTCAAATCAGATTTTGGCAGCAGATTCTTATCAAAATAGATCCTCGATTAGATCTCGAAAAAAAGAAATTCTAATTCTGTTTGGTGATTTTGAAGCGGTTTCTCATCTAGATACTGAAATTTACTATTTATTTAGACTATTTTTTTACTTATGTAACTGTGTCAACTAGAGGGGAAAAAAAGGCTAAATTGAAATTCGGCGTCCTCATTTTCTACAACCGACTCCAAGCTGTGTGCTTTGAGTTATACTGGAGCAGGTAAAAATGAAATAGCTCAACTCACAATGATAGTCTGCGTGCCGTCTTTGTCTGCCTCCTTTAGTTTCTTAACTTCTTTCTGCAGACAGGCGTCAGACGGAGCCGCCGCGGCGTTTTGAGGCTTGGCGGCTCTGCGAGGAAACCAAAAAACACACTTGGGGTTATTACGCCTTTCGGCTGGTAAAAAGGAAAAAACACGTCAAACGACTTAAGGGGAGCTTCTCACTTCTGACAGGGCTGCTCTGATGTCTTCTCCTCTGTCTCGCCGGCTCCCGTCTCTGGAGGAGGATTAGCAGCCGCCACTGGGAGGAAACAGACACGTTCAACGATTCTGCACAGGCTGTTCAGACTTACTCTGAGAGTGAACGCACAGGGCCTCATTCAGCCCTGTTTTAGTAATGAGTTAAATACCCGCAGGCTTTTCTTCACGCTGTTGGGGGTCGTTGGAGGCTTGGCAGCTTTCCGCCGGAGGACTGGAGGAGGCAGACGCTGATGGAGGCGGGCCAGACGCCTTCTGTGTGTGGAAGAAGGCAGGCGTTAAATCATTGGATGCCAAAGACGTCTATAGACGTCTTTTATGTTTTTCAACGGGAGTGGCTTGGGGGACGATCTGCTAAAGCTTGTCCGTAAATATCAGGCTTCTAGACAGAGTATGTAGTAACAAATTGACCCTCTAGGTGGCAGTGCCACTTTTTGATGGGAGATGAGCATAGACTGTAGGCAAATAAGAAAAAGGTAACGGTTCGATATGAGAGAACATGTCGCCAGTGAGACGCAAGTCATGAAGAACGGAATAAGGTAGAAAGTATTTTGTTGTGTTTTGGTGTGCTCGGTGTTTACGTAGTCAGAGCACAAACTATTCTGTGGCTCTTGAAAAATCAGTCAAAATGCTCAAAAACCTCTGGCAGTCAATGAGTTAGGTAACAGCTCCGGTTTTTCCGGAAAGCTCTTTCCGCCAACCCATCTTTCCCTTTCCTCTTACCTTGCACCTGTCCTCTTCCCGTGAGGGGGGGCTGGGGGGATGCTGAGGCACTGAGGCGGCGGGGGCGGTCTTGGCGGCGGCGGCGGGCGGCTGCGTCTGAGGCGGGGCTGAAGGGGCGGGCTGGGGGGGCGGGGCCTGGGCGGCCTGCTTGGGCTTGGGGGCGGCCATTTTCTCCTGGGGCGGGGCCAGAGCGGCGGGTCTCGGCTGACCCGGGGTCGGGACGGGGGGCCGGGCGGCCGCCGTCTGCCCGCCGTTCGGGGGCGAGGGCTTGGCCGGCGGCGTGGTGGGGGCCGGGGACTGAGGGGCCGCCGTGGTTCTGGCCGCCGGGGGCCTCGGCTGACCCGGACCTGGACCCTGACCCCCTCCGGGCGCCGGGGTCTGAGCTCTGAGCTTGGCCTGGTGAGCCGGTTGCGAGGCGGCGGCGGCGGGCTTTGACGGGGGAGGGGCTCTGGGGCGAGCGGCGGGGTGGGACTGGGCGCCCGGTCTGGGCGGCTGCGGGGGCGGTCTGGACCTGGATAGTGGGACCGGTAGCGGGTCGTCATCCAGCTCAAAGTCGTCGGCGGAGTACTTGGGGCGGGGCCGGTAGGGCTTGTACTCCACCTCCTGCTTCTGCTTCTGGGCGTTGACCCCGTTGGGCATGGGGGGCGGGGCGGCCGGGAGGGACCTCTTGGCGGCGGAGCGGGTGGCCTTGGGGGCGGGCGCCGCGGTTGTGGGCGTGGCCGGTTTGGATGCTTGGGCCTTACTCTGCCGCGTGCTTCTGCGGGTTTCGCTCGGGGGGGGCTCGGCTTTGGTCGCCTCCGCTTTGACGGGCGCCGCTTTGGCCGTTTCAGCTGGGACGCTTTCGCTTTTGGCGGGTTCCGTTTTGGAGGCGGGCTCAGCTTTGGGGGCCTCAACTTTGAGATCCTCGGCTTGCGGCTGAGCTGGTTTGGTGGCGGTGGGGGCGGGACTCTGGGGGGGCGGCTTCGGGGGGGCGGGCGGCCGGCGGGGGGGTCTTTGGGCTCGGCGAGAACAGCGATCCGGCGGAAAAAGGCGCCTGCCAGTCCATGGCGGCGAACATCTGGCTGGCCTGGTCGGACTTGAGCTTCTTGACCCGGGCCCAGGACATCTTCTCCCGCTGCAGCTCCACCTGCCGCAGCCGCTGGTAGCGCGTCAGCTTCTTCTTCTCGTGCGCCTTCAGCGGCACCGAGATCTGCGAGACGAAGAAGCGCCGCTTCTGGGGCTCCGCCGGAGCGGGGGGCGGGGCTTCGGCCGGCGGCGGGTTGACCGGCGGCGTCTGGGCGGCGGGCGCCTCTGGGGCGGGACCGGCCGAGGCCTGTGACCCTGCCTCTGGCCCGGCGGGTGGCGGGAGGCCGACCGGGTCCGTGTCCGTAGCTTTGGCGGCCGGATGCTCCTTCCTGCAGGCTTCTGCTTCCGCTTTGGCCGCCACCGCTGCCGCCACGGCGGCCGCCGCCTGCTTCTCCTCCTCGATCCTCTTCAGCAGCATGCTGTCGGTGGCGATGTCCTCGGCGATCTCATGACAGAGGGCCAGGAGGTTGAGCTGCTGCCGCTGCGCCGCCCGCTTGGACGCCGCCGCCTTCTGCTCGGCCAGAGCGGCCAGCCGGGCTTTGGTCCGCGCCTGCGTGTTCATCTCCTGTTTCTTGGGCTTCTCCACCTCCGGTCCCTTCTTGTCCGATTCGGCCTTTTCGCTTCCGCTCTTATCGTTGGCCTTTTCCTCTGGCTTTTTCGTGAGGCCTTTGCTGGGCGGATCGGGCGTTTTTTGTACGATCGTGACCTCGCCGTCCTCCTCGTTCTCCTCCGCCACCACGATCTCTCGGCCGATCTCCATGTCCTCCAGGATCTGCACTTCTCGGAGGTCCACCTCACCTCCCTCCTTCTCCCTGACCACCGCCTCGCCGTCTTCAAGAACGTGCGAGTTCGCCGTGTGTGCGTCCGCCGGGTCAGATAGTGGCGGCTGGTCAGGGATTTCGCTGTCCTGAGGCGTTTTCTCTTCCTGGTCTACGGCCTCGTCTGCGCTGGCCTGCGTGGCATCCTTGACCCCGTCGGCTTCTGCAGCTTCCCAGGCGCTGCCTGTACGGCGCCGGTCTCCCAGCTCCTCCGCCGGGCCGCGGCGTGGGCTGGACTCTTCGGTGAGAGAGGCCGACAGGCCCGACTCGGCTGCGGCCTGGGTGACGATATCAACGTGGATTTCGCTCTCCGGGACCGGCTCTAAGATCACAAACTCCTCGGACACGCCGGCTGTCGTCTGGACTTCGACTGCGGCGTCTGTGGCCACGGCGGCGTCCGCAGCGGTGTCCACGGCCACGGTGGCATCCGCAGCCGTTATGGCGTCCACAGCCACAATGGCGTCCACAACTGCTATGGTGTTAACAGCCACAGTGGCGTCTGCGGTGGTGTCAACAGTCGTTATGGTGTCCAAAACTGCTACGGTGTCCACAGCCACGGTGGCGTCCGCCGTGGCGTCCACAGCCATGGTGGCGCCCGCAGCTAGGGTGGCGTCTGAGGTACCGTCCACAGCCGTTATGGCGTTCACTGCCACTACGTCGTCCACAGCCATGGTGGCATCCGCGGCTACGGTGCCGGGCACAGTCGAGGTGGCGTCCGCAGCCCTTATGGTGTCCACAGCCATGGTGGCTTCCACAGTTGCTACGGCGTCCACAGCCACGGTGGCGTCCGCGGCTACGGTGGCGTCTGCGGTGGCGTCCGCAGCCATGCTGGTGTCCACAGTTGCTACGGCGTCCACAGCAGCGTCCACAGCTATGGTGGCGTCTGCAGTCGCGGTGGCGTCCGCGGTGGCGTCCACAGCCATGGTGGCGTCCACAGCCGCGGTGGCGCCCATGGCTACGATGGTGTCCGCGGTGGCGTCCACAGCTGTTATGGCGTCCACAGCCGCGGTGGCGTCCGCGGCTACGGTGGCGTCCACAGTCGAAGTGGCGTCCACAGCCATGGTGGCGTCCACAGTTGCTCCGGCGTCCTCAGCCACGGTGGTGTCTACAGCCGCTACGGCGTTCCCAACCATGGTGGCGTCTGTGGTGGCATCCGCAGCCACGGCAGCGTCTGCAGCCAGAGTGGCGTCCACAGTTGCGGTGGCGTCCGAGGCTACGGTGGTGTCTGCAGCAGCTACGGCGTCCACAGCTATGGTGGCGTCTGCAGTGGCGTCAGCGGCCGCCTGGCGTCCCACATCCTCCCTCACCGGCGCCGACATCTCTGCTGCACCCACACACTCTGGGAATCCATTTCTTTCCCCTTCCTGGTCTGCATCTTCAGTCCAACCGCCTGCCAAGCGGACGCCGCCATCTCTAGGGTCGGCCGGCGCCGCGTCGGCGTCCTCCGGCGGTTCCCCGGCGCTGTGCGCTGCTCGCTCGTCCTGTTCACCACTCTCCTCCGAAGCCTTCACCTCCTCCTCCTCCTCCAGCCCGGGGGGGCTGGACCCGCCGCCCTCCACCGGCTGGGTCTCCATGCTCTCCGGTAGAGGCTCTGCGGCGTGCAGCTCGGCGCCGGCGTCGCTCTCTGGACTGCTGATGGGCTCGTATACCACCAGGCTCTCGCGCTGCCCGCTGTCTGACCGGCTGACCACCTCCACCTGCTCCTCGGGGGGCTGGAAGACGAGACCCGTCCCGTCTGCTCGGTCGCATAGGAAAACTATCACCTCGCTGTTGGTGGTTCCTTCTTCAGCCTTGAACTGGTTCATGACTTGCCCTCCACTTTCCACTTCCAAAGCGCAATCCAAACTCTCCATCGGTGCGTCCGTGTTAACTCGGACATCCTCAATAGCGGGCTCTATTATTCTGACTTTTTCTTTACTTTCTAAATGAGCAATGGGGGGAGGAGGTGTCTGAATCTGATCCGATGGGCTGACGGCTTGCTCACCGGTTTCATGAACGGCGTGGTTTTGCTGCTCTGCCAGGTGGGAATTCTCCTCAGGCGTTCCAGTGGTGTCGGGAACGCCCTCGGGAGCTGCCTCCTCCTCGTTTCCGTCCGGCTCCTGCCTTTGCTGGTACTGAATATCAAACTCGGGTCTTGGATCGGAAATCCCTCCCGGGGTCTCTGATGTCTGCGAGTCTGCGAGGTGCCCCGGGGCGTCCACACAGCCACTGCTCTGTTCACTGCTCTGTTCACCGCTGGTATTAAAGGAAGTTTTTTCTGCCTCGGTGTCTGTGGTGAGTTCACTAACCTCGTGAGCTCCCGTTCCTTCTGATCTACAGACCTCCTCTCGCTCCTCTGCCGTTTGGGCTTTCTTTTCATCCGGCTGCTCGACACCCTCTCCGTGAGCCCCGTTCCCATTCCTGTCGTAATCTAAATTCTCCTCGGTTTTCCCCGACACGTCGCTTCCAGGCCGGGTGAAGTTCAGGCACTTCTGGGACAGCGTTTCAGCAGGAGGAGACGGAATGGAAATCTCAGCTATCGACTCAGACGGCTTTTTGATCTCATTGGCAGCCTCAGACGGAGTCTCTGCCTTTTGTGGGACGCTTTTGGTTTTTTGGTCTTGTGTTTCCACGACGGTTGTTGTAGGAGCCGGTTCTGAGGTTACCTGCTGCACATCTATCTGATTCTGCATTTCCTCTGGAGAGGTTGCTTTAGAAACCTCGGGCTCCGGTGCGATCTGCATGTCCACCTGGATTTCGCCGTCTGGCGCTGCCGAGCACTCAGAGTTTAGCTGCTCGTCACTCCTCACAGGCGGAGAACCTGCAGACACGTCGTCTGTCTCACATCTGCCGTGGTCCTCACGTTTTCCACTCTGTATTTCCACCTCGGACACCAGGTCGGCACTACAGTCTGGTCCCTGCACGGCCACCTCTCTTTGACCCTGACTGACGTCCACTACAGGAGGCGGAGTCACAACCTCTCCCCCCGCTTCCATTCGATTCCGTGTTGCAGTCACAGACACCAATTCCCACTCAAATTTCTCTAAAATTTTGACACTTTCTACTTCCAGACCCTCGTGACTCTCGGCTGATGCCTCTGTGTTGACTCTGTCGTCCGTCTGGCTGTGAGGTCCAGGTGCTGGTGCGGGGGCCCAGGTCTCCCGCGATGCCTGGGGATGGACTTCTACCGGACTCTCGGCAGAGGCGGAGACGGCGTCTTCGTTTCTCTGGCAGTTCACCGTCTCCGGTTCTTGGATACCTTTGTCCGATGTGTCTGCGGGGGGTTCACTGTCCCCCTGGCTCAGGGGGGTGGCGTCCTCTGCCGTGCATGTGCTCTGTACACTCCCTCCTGTGGGGCTTTCAGCAGCAACATGACATCCAGTTTCTTGACTTTTTATACAATTGGCTGTTTGCAGGCCTTTCTGAACTTGGTCGGTTGGGACTGCGATAGGTTCGCTGACCACCAGCCTCGTCTGATCTGAGTTTTCCAGCCTTTGTGCCGTGGGACGGACCTCCAGAGGTGTGTCCACTTCGGAGTTAGTATCTTTAAGCTGTCCGCTGCCCTCTGGGCCTTTCGTGACAGACAGGTCTCTGCTGGGTTCAAAGGCAGGGCTCTCCCGGACGTGCACGTGAGCATGTGCTTCTGTTTCAGAACCAAAAGCAGATCCGACGGTTTCCACGTCTCTACACTGATCCGCCCGAACCTGATTGCACACCTCAGCTAACAGGGCCGTGGTGGGTTCACTGACCCTCTGGATTTCCTGTGTCTGCACCACAGGTCTGGGATGTATCGCTACAGTCTGTGTTTGTATTTTGCTTCGACTCTCAGCTCCACCCCCACATTCCAAATGAGACGCCTCTTTGATTTCCGTTTTCTGTACATGATCGTGGCACAAATCTGGAGACGGCGTCGAGGCAGGTGCGCCGGCGTCCCTGTTTGGCGTTTCCACTGTTACGTCCAGATTAGTAGCCTTTGTATCAGTTTCAATTCGCACGACGACGTCCTCCGATGCGTTTAGGTCTGTGGAATCCCCCCCCGGCTCCACGGCTTGTGCTGCCGTGCCGTCAGAGAGCTGGCGCTCCTCCCGGCGCCACTCATCCACGAGGCCGTCGGGAAGCCCGTCTCGTCCACCTTCGGGGTTCCCAGCTGTTTGGTTCACATTATCCCACTGCGTGACTTTCGTGTTTAATTCCTCTTTGAGGCCCGTGTTCGCTTTCAGGTGTGTGTGAGGTTCAGAAATGCCCGATGACTCCTCCGTTGCGGGGTTTTCCTTTGTCTGACCCTCGGGGTTAGTATTTCCCGACAGAAGCTGTTCCGGTGCGGTGATCCTCTCACTGGAAAGTGTTTCGTGCGGCTGGACGTCGCCGTTAGGACCGGGTACTTCAGCTCCACCCTGCATGTCACACTCCTTGGTCTTACATTTTAGACTCAGCTTATTTTCCTCTGAAACCAGCTCCGTCCGGCTCTCCGATTCACAACTGGAGGCCGTATCCTCCCCCGAATGTCTGTCGACTATTTCGACGGTTGAATTCACCTCTCCGGCGGCGTAAAGCAGCGCCGGCGTCTCGTTTTCTACGTCCTGTCGGCTTTTGGGAGACCCCGTTTTCTCCATCCCGACGTTTCCGTTATCCTCCGATCTCAAAGGAATTTCTACAGAGCAACAATCCACCGTTTCCCTTGGAGATGAGGGGGCTTCACCATCCACGAGCTTTACCCTCTCTGGGTCTTTTGACTCCGGGCCTTTGGTTTCTTCGGCCTCAGCCTCGTTTTTGACGCCCCCCCCGACGGCCGTCGTTTCCTCTGAAACTTCTGATCTCTCCCCTCTGGTGAAAGAAGCGTCAGATTCTTTGTTGTCGTTGGCATCCGTCGTCTGAGGACACGACGAATCGGAGAACCGGCCGTAGTTGTGGTCCATCTGTACGGGGTCCACGGGCGAAGCCTGAGTGGCCTCCTGTGGATCGGACGGCGACTCCTCAGCTCTGCGCTTGGCCTTGACTTTGTTGGAATATTTTCGGATGCAGCGGGCCTTGTCCTCGTCGTCCCGCTCTCTGAAGAAGTCCACCTTACTGCCGTCGCTGCTGAAGTCATCGTCGGACTCGGTGGACGCTGTCCGTTTTAGGGAAATGTTGGAGTTGGCTCTCTGTGGGGGAGCTTCTCCGTATGAGGCACTTGTGGCTTTCAAGAGCTTGGCTTTTTTGACTGGTGGGTCGGAGGCGTCTTTACCAGCCTCCTTCACGGGGGAGCTCTGTTTGGTCGCCCTGGCTGGTTTGTTACCCCCCTCTGCTGAAGACGACCGCTTTATCTTAGTCCGCGGAGCTGCTGTGTTCTCTTGATTATTTCCTGTTTTCATGGTATTGGTCGCTGGTGCAGTTTTGGACGACAGAGCTTCTTCATCCTCGTCCAGTTTCCTCATCTTGGGGTCAGGGTCATGCGGAGCAGATCCTCTCTTTGGGGCAGGCATTCTGTGGAAATAGTTCACAAAATGCTATGAGGCTTAGACAACAAGAAACACACAACTTTTTTTTCTAGCAACATGCATTTCCTCTTTTGCTTCTCATAAATACATATATAAATCTACACACCCAGACAAACTGGATGAAAATTATATAAAATTAAATACAACCACTAACATCACTAATCTACTTAGTAGATATGAGGATTCTGTGACAGAGCGTGATGTTTATGTTTCCACATGCAGTAAGTGTTACCTGGTTTAAAACATGCAACAAGGCTGGCTAACGGTGGTAAACACAGATAAACCAGAGTTTAACTAGATGGATAATAAGTCACGCAACGTACATCGGCCTTTCCTCACTTATTCACCATCTATACAGGGGGTTTGAGCAGATGAAATGACCAGTTAGCTAACACTAGCTGAGCTAGCGCGCTAGCTGGAAGTCCATAGTGATGGGTGCTAACGCTAGCAGCTGCCAACTCGCAACAAATGAGCTAAGCGACATTAGCTGCTCAACTTCCACCCAAACAGCAGCCTCCCACTCCGAGCGGAGGCTCTGCGGAGCAGTCCTCCAAATACTAACATCTGTGGAAGGCAAAGCCGCGGAATGCGTCAGCGAAACTCACTTTGATGTTTTCTTTTTCCAACAGCAGCTGTTTTTTTCCTGTGACTAAAAAAAAAAAATTAACTGTACTTCCGGTGACAAGCGGCGGATGTGACGTAGAACGTTTAAGACGAACTCAAGATAAAGATTTACACATTCAGGCTTTTAATTTCTTCTAACTTAGTTCTAAAAAAAACTGTGCTATGAAGGAGCCAGGTTAAAAATTCCTGCAAATTTATTTGACATATGGGGCAAATGGTCTCCATTCAGGGTCTGTTTAGTTATTTTGTATTCATGCACACTTTATAAGGAAAAACTCTCAAAATTGTAACAAAAATTTGCCTTATAGTTGAAATAATTATAATTATTTTTTAGAAAAAGAGAATCAAATGTTTTTAGAAAAGTGACCAAGAAACCTCTGATATAGGTGTTAGATATACAGGTACCCCGATAATAATTTTCTTCAGTGCCAAAAAATCAGAGGTTCTATGTTACATACTGATACAGAATAAATAAGAATAAATGTTATGCCAAATCAATCATGTCAGTGTCAGATAAATAACAAGCTTCCTTACACAGTAAAAATATCTCACATTGAAATAGTCATCTTTAGATATTAAAAACCAGGCAAGTACCCCATTAAATCTGTGCATGTTGTTGTGGTTTGAAATTGCCAGTTTATAAATCATTCAGCTTAAGGACCTCAAATGTTAATGTCTTAATATTAAAAGCCACTTGATAGAAAAACTCAATGACTTTAATCAGCATTCACAGCTTTTTACACATAGGAACTTGAGTCGTACAACCATGCAGCAGTAAATGGTGCATAAAATCTCAATCAATGAAAGGAGGAAACTGATTTTGTTTCTCTCTTTATTACAATATTTTTCCCAGTCTTTCCATGACAGGTTTATTTTTTGCTCTCATTCCATTTATATACAAAAAGTTTGGTTTACTGTAGGGCATAACATGTCTTTCACCCCCCTTTTAATACATTTTGACTTGACCAGAAAGGATGATAAACTCCAATAAGTAGAACAAATGCATAACAATCGAGTAATAACAGAGACAGCTTTCATTCAATTTTATTTTAATCTCAAAATCGTATTAGTTTCATGCAGAGCAAGCATGGCACCTCACAGCCGTTAGATGTAAATTTACAGCAAATTGTCCAATGAAAATGTTTAGCATTTTTGCAAGTTTGGAGTTCAGCTACAGCAGAAATGGGATTTCCATTGATCAAAACACTGGGGAAGCAATAAGGAAAGGAGAGGAAAAGCATCAATAATAGCATTGTGGTCGCATTAAACTGTGTTACTTTTTCATCTCGAGTATTCCACTTCCGGGCCCTCGTTTCTTCGCACTGCAGATGTTACAGAACTGCCCTCCAGGGATCTGAGACGAGAAAGAGGGAAAAGGCACAGGAGTGTTGGTTCAGACCAGCCCTGTTATTTTGAGAGTCACAGACAAAATAACTGGAAAGGTGAGAGATTATGCGATTGTGTGGGTCACTCACGGTCCCTGAAGATGGCAAACACTCCTTGTGAAACATGTGTCTGCAGTGGAAAACCACCACGTTGAAGGCTTTGGCCATATCTGAAACCCATTTCAAGCAAACAGTGGCGGTTAGGGCCGCTTTTAAAAGCAACATCAGACATGTTGTTTACAGCTAAACTTGACACCCACCTGAGGGTAAAATTGTAGCATGACAAGACTCGCAGATGTTTCCCTCTGAAAGAATACAGGTGAACAACACATTTGTCAGTTTAGGGTCGTAATACTTCGTCATTGCTTTTTTTTTTTTTTTAAACACGCTCCCACCATCGACCCTGACTCCTCTCATCTGTGTGCGATGCATCTTCTGGAGCAGGGAGAGGGAATCGGCCACCAGGATCTTTTTGCATCCTTCTCGCAGAAGAATCTTAGAGGCAGAAAAATAAACTATGGTCAATTTAAGCACCATTTAAATGAACTTTTAAAAGAGAAGTTTCTTAGGATTACATGCCACTATAGAGCCACTATTTGAATACAAACAGTTTCTGGGTTAAGTGAAGAAAATTCTTTTTTGAAGGGAATAAGACTAACTTGCAGATTGTAGTCATGGAGGATTTTCACAAGCGAATCTCTGAGGTTGGGGATCTCCATGCCCTCCTTTATGCGATGGATGAGCAGAATCGGATCAACGTGAGTGCCGATATTATTGAGGAGGCCAGTGATGAACGCTAGAATAAGTAACAAAGCAACAAACGTAAAAGGGAGAAGGTACGAAGGGACAGGTTTAGTGCGAGCGGGTCGTACGTGGCTTATCGATGGAGTAAGAGATGAGATCCTCCCACAGCTCAGCGTCGTCCTGCTCTTTAGCAAACTCTATAGCTTTGTCCACATCCTCCAGCTCCTCCATGATCATCTGAAGAGCTCTCCTGCAGTTCCCCATCCTGCCTGGGAACAAAAAAGGCAGATTAGCTTCCCCCTCATTTCTAATCACAGACACAATCCCTGTTAACACTCACTGAGCAGGAAGACCGTTTCCTCCACAAAGTTCCTTTGCTGACAAATCTCAAGAGCCTGGAATTGAGAGTTTGGTTAGAGCGGGGATGTTTTAGTAAATCGTGAGTTTAATTCGTATCGGGGCCTCGTGTACCTTTTCAAGGGGGCAGTGTGTGCTGTCCCTCAGGAAGGGCAGGAGGTTCGGTCGGTCGTACTCTGCATACAGGCCTATTTGCTTCTCGTGGTACTTCTGGCCTTTGTGGTGGTCCCGCTTGAACAGTTTATGGAGGTACTGTAGAGAAAAAGGACACAGTGTGACCACCTTAGAGTTCGATTCTGCGATATGAGCGAACGGACACTTTCACTCACTCACCACATGCAGCAGCTCTGGCCTGTCTGCTAGCTCTTCCACCACCCGGTCAATCTGTTAGAAGAGGGAGGAACAAGGCGTCAACGGGAGGGCTCTTTTAATCGGAAAAAGAGAATAGAATAGAAGAGTCGGCGCGCTTACAGATATCTTGTCTTCATTGTCAAGCAGCATGTCAACAGCTTTCTAACAAGAACAACAACAACAAAAAAGGGATCATATGGTGTGTCTCAGATGGTCGACTCATTTACAGACGTGAGCTCGGTAGGTTTCCTTTTACCTCTTTGTCAAAGTCCATGAGGAGGACGATCTTGTCTTCTATGGAGGAGAACAGGTTGTGTTTGTGGATGAGCTGGTAAACGTCTTTGTGCCTCAGTCTCAGGTAGATTTCTAAAGCTCTGTCGTAGCGTTGGTCGTACGTGTATCTGAGATGGGGGCAAAGACGGAGAGGGTTATTTGGTAATTTGTCTCGAATCCTAGGAGTTTAAACAAATCAGCAATTCATCTAAAATGAGCTCAGCATTACCGCTTTTCTTTTGTTCGATATTCATACAAATCTATACATTTTTGAACATTCTACATGCTAAGACGTCATGTAATCTACACAAACGGAGCTCACAGCTCGGCCAGCGTGGTGAGCAGCGTGCTGTTGGTGGGGTCCTTCTTCAGGTGGTCGCTGACCGCCTGAACGATGGCCATGTTGTTGTACAGCTCTCCGGGCCATTCCCGGATCAGCGTGGCAAAGCCCTGGGCGGAACGGCACGGTTAGAGACTGACCAACGAACAGCTCCAACACTGGGGTTTGGTCAAAGATAGTCACCATGGGGAGGAGAAGACAAATACCTCATAGTCAGTTTTTAGAAATTCGTGCAGGATCATTTCATAGATGGCTGGTCTCAGACGCAGATCTCCTCTGGGCAGATACTGACTGATGGCCTGGAATTGAAATGATGATAAACAAAAGGTTAATTAGACTAGGATACGATGGATTTCACAATAATTACCACTTTCGCAACAAAACAAATATACAGAAATTAGTTGGAAAAAGGCACCCAAACCCACCTTTAGCTGCCCTATTGTCTTAAACCTGTACACCTCATTCTCCCACAGCTCCATGTTTTTCCCAAGAACCTTTTGACACTTTCTGGAGAGAAAAAAAAAAAAAAAAGACCCGCATCAAACAGCATAAAAAGATGAACTGAAGCTCTGATTTTCTGTGGCTCGTCTGAGCAGAACAGCTTCAACTCTGGGACCCTACAGCTCACCTCTATAGCTCATTAACTACCGTTTTCAACCTCGTGCCATGGCGAGACTCACCTGGCGGCGCTCTCGTAGTCTCCCCTCTCCACCAGATGATTGATGTAGGCCATTCCAATCTTCTGAACGTCGTGCCTCTTAATGTTTTTAAAGCTGATCTCTGCGGCCATCAGGGCCTCCTGCGGCAGTAACGGGACACGGAATTAATCCCCCCGACATGGCGGGCGCTAACCTTTAGCAGCGTTCCGGTAAAAGTTCAGCAAAGGCGGACCTCGTATTTTTTCTTTTCCAGCAGCCAATCGATATGGTCGTCCTGGTCTCGCTCTTTGGCCACGACGATGTCTTTGGGACTGATGATGTAGAAGAGCGACTCTCCCTCGGAATGCTCTGTTAATGAAAATACATTCATGGCTCCGGCTGACATTTGATGGCTGGTGCATAATGAAATCAGAGTGCATCAAAAAAGGCAGCGTGACATTTCTCCTGGGAGGGCTTTTTATGGGCTCACCCAGGCGGTAGTCTCTGCACTCGTTGTCCCGGTAGTTGCGCACGGTCAGGGCGTCCGAGGAGATCTCCTCGCAGCCCTCGGGGAGAGGCTGGATGATGTCCAGCCGGGGCCGCGCCCGGAACTCCTCGTCCTGCGGGGGAAAAGGCGAGGCGGGATGTGAGTGTTCGCCCTCACCTGCTCTGGGTTCACGCGGGACGGCGTTCGCCGTGTTACCATCTGGTCGGCGTTCTCTCTCACGAAGAACAAGGAGACCAGCTGATCGGCCAGCGGGGCCAGGCCACAGATGAAAAACTCAGTCTCAAACGCAGACACTGAAAGAATCAGAAGAATCTTTAGTAACTTCCACTCCTTTTAGGTATTTCTGTGACCCATCCACAACAGTTCAAAAAGAGAAACTAAACAGCTATTTTAATTAATCACAAAGAAATGAAAGAGAGCGATATGATGATGATATAGCATTATTTGTGCTCCTTATCTCCATTTACAGATCATACTTTTGCTTGAGGGTCTACCTAAGTAGACTTCTGTGCTTTAATATCACCAAAATGTTTCTTTAAGCCAACTCAAGCTGGCTCCATCTCCCATCCTAAATTTTTTGGACAAATTTGATTTAGTTTTGCCAAATCAGACATGTTTTGTTTTTTTTAAATAATGAAAATGTGTATCATAGTGATCAGGGCAACAGGAGGGACAAACACCAAACCAACAAATAGGTTTTCTCAGGCAGTTCAGAAGCCTTTTGTAGAAAAGAAAAACTTTCCCACTAAAAGCTGCTCACATCAGATACGTTTTCCTTCAGGGCTTCCGGAAAAGATCTCTATCCTGTGTTAAAAAAGGCTTCCCCTTTGCTTTGACGTTCATGTCAGGCACAACTTCTTCTAATGAGGTTTTCCAGTGCTGGGCCCCTTCTCTCATGGTGCAGTTTTGGGACTTCTAGCCCTGTGCTAAGGCTGTCCCTGCACCACCTGTTTGACTTCTGTGGCTCCACAATGGTGGAATGAGACGCCAACCTCTATCAGAGCTGAGCTCCCTTCCTCTTCAAAGAACGTCTCCACTTCAAACACATCTGCTGGGCCCTTCTGGACCCCTGTAGTTATGCACTGCCTTGTGAATATATTTAGCCCTAAAAGCTAAGACCAGTATTTCTTACTGAGGCTCAAATGTTTTCTAGTCCTTAACCTATGACTATTTTATCTTAAGAATGATAGCAATCCTTATGGGTGGCGTGGTTTATACCTATTTCCACGTAGCGGCTTGGCAGATCCCTCATTTCAGTGGGGTTGCGCTCTTTCACGACACATATCTGTGACGAAATAAAAAAAAAAACACTAAAGAATTGCATCGCCTAGAGCTACCGATGAAACAATCGAGAAACGAACCTTAATGGAAGTACCCCATCCGACAATGAGAGTCGTATCGTCCTTCCAACACAGGCTGCACGGGTACATGTCAGGCCTCAGGCTGATGTTGTCTTTCAACACGTTGGTGATTCGCTGCTTGGTGCTGATGTCGTAGATTTTGACTCCCTGGAGACAAAACGCAACACCATGAGCCCCTCTCATCTTCGGCTGTGTGGGGGCAAAGTGTCTGGACTCACCAAGTTATTGGCCCAGGCGATCAGGTTGGCTCTCCACTGTACGTTAGTGATGGTGCCCTCTCCCTCGTGTAGGACCAACGTCTTCCAGCGATTTAGCCAGTTCCTTTCGTACAGAAGCAGCTTGGAAGTAGAAATTGAAGGCAACGTTTAACCCCTTCTGAGTGCGTTTTGAGTGTAGGAAAGCTGTGTTGCCTACAGAGGGCAGTCCATGCACAGCTTATTGCAACAAGCCAGCTTCTGTCACACAGATATGGGGGACTCATAAAAAAATAAAAATAAATTGTCCGTCAGCTGCAAATAACTATGTAAAAACTGCCTTCCCTCCTTATGTGCAGACTTAATTCCGCTTCAGAGCGTTTTGGCGTGAAGAAAATTAAGACGAATTGTTCATTTGACTCCACCAGAGCAGGAAAAGCTTCATATTAGCCTGAAGTTCACTGGTGGAAGAAGTCATTTCGAAGATGCACATGGCCGACACAACTCGCAAGTGGGAGATTATGCGGGAGCCATAAAGAAAAGGGGTCGCAAATATGTTACATTAAAGGCACGATTTCACATCGTCATTGTGATGGCTCGAGCTGCTTCAGGCTGCACCCCATTTGCGGCTCCTTAAAGACAAGTTCATCTTATTTTCATGCAGCGTTTTAGCTGTCTTGTGTTCTGTTAGATGTGTAGTGAGTGGTTCGGGTGTTGTGGCTTGTCTTTTTAACCGCGACGCAGCGTGTGGAACTGACCGAGATGTCCACACTGTATAAAACTAGTACAAAAAGAATCCGAAAAGGGGCATAGTATTCCCAAGGAGGCCTGGAGAAAGGCTCTTTAATTCAGCAGTTGGGCTATGTTAATAAACAGCTTGCTCTACAAAGAGATGATATGACAAAAGAACTGGAGAGACAAAATTGAATTTCCTTTGACAGGATGTGGCTCCCGCTGAGGCTTATTGATTTTCATCACAGGCACCTTGTGGAGGCCTTCGCTACATGGAACTGAGAGGAATCAGCACCAATTGAAAGAAAATGGCAAAGTAACACTAATAATGGAGTTTCGCGGTGAAAGTTTTTCCTCACAGCGTTGTATAAATGTCAGTAAACCTTATTAATAGATGGCTGTGCAATGACGCCACATCGGAGCAGTTTACAGCTCTGTAGTTAGTTTGTTGAAATAGGCAGGTGGGTTTATTTCTAAGGAGGGGGGGAGGCAAAAAAGAACATCTAAATTCCTTTTTCCTTATACACGCTTCCCGATGGGTTCCCCTGTACGCAGCTGAAAATCCTAAGCCTACGCGCCCTCTTTTCTAATGACATCTATTTGCTGCACTTGCAAAGCATTGCCTTTGAAACACTGTTGAGAGAACAAGCACTTTGTGAAAATGACCAGCTCTGCCAAAAGCACTCCAGCAAAAGAGACAGAAAAAGTAAGAGCCTTTCACACCAGACAGACAATGGCCCGGGATTCGCCTTCAGCCGATGCCCAAATGACCCGTTTCTTCCCCCCCGGGAATCAGTTTCACCCGGACACAATCGGAATGAATCATTGCGGCGGGAAATTTTTCTGGAAAACGCCGTAAACTGCGGATAATGACGGCGAAAGCGGCGGGTGTAGGTAAAAAACCTACCTTGTTGCCCCCGGTGACAAACTGTTTGTAGTTGGATCGGCTAAACTGCGGGTGTAACGCAACCACCTGCGAACAACATTTTCTCTTTAGAAGTGCACTTAGGTCGCAGCATATTCAAACTCGAGTGTGCAGGGAAAAAAAAGAGACTTACTTTGATGGGACAGTCAAAGTTGTCATGGAAACCCTCTCTGGTATAGAGACCAAAAACTTGGACCTGGAACCAAAAAAAACAAGAAAAAGAAGGGATGGTAAAGCACCAAGAAATGGTGAATCATAATTTCCATTTCAATTCCTGACCCTACAACTATCCGAAGCCGGCAGGGGGGGAAGTGTGATAAGACTTTGATTGGCTCCCTTCTTCTCCGCTGGGCAGCCAATTAGTGGACGAGCTGATTCTCTGAGCCCTGCAGGGTTTAGATCAGAGGTCCTTACATTGGACCTCACCACTGTTTGAGTACCAAACCCTAAACTCTAATGTACTATTTCAATACAGTACAGTAGAGTATATTATTGAACATCATTTGTACATCATTAAAACCTGTTTTCAAGGCGTGGTAGTAATATAAAACTCAGATACCATCTCATTTCTTAACCTGCGCTGCTGATTGAGGATTAGTTTAGATTTCAAAGGATTAACAGAAAACAAGCGAACTGGTGTGTGGGGGGGGGGGAACAATTCCTGTTGCACCGACTTTAATTGTCTGCTCCACTTTTTTTGCGCGACAAGATCTTGTTTTTTTCCTTTTTTTTTTTGCCACCAGAGTGCCGGAAGTAGGAAGGGAGGGCGGTATCAGAGAGCATATCTCGACTGCAAAATCCATGAAGGATAGTGGTAATGATGAGAAGAGACAAGATAACAGCCCCAACATGGAGAGGGGATCCATAGAGCGGCTGATGGCTGACTGACAGCTCGACGGATCTGAGGGCAATCCTTTCCCCTTACTTTTCAAAACTCTTACAAGCTTTTTATAAATCCCAAAATCAGGTAGTGGGTTTATGTGTAGATATCGCAAAGATAAAGCTCTAAGGTAATGCAGTAAATGTGGACGCTGCACCTTCTGAAATTCACTCCCAAATGCCTCGGCTTCCCGATCATTTGCATAAAGGTCGAGACAGATAAGAGGAGTTTATGTGAATTATGAAAAAAGATGGAAAACATAGATTTGCGGCCCCTTACTGCCCAGGTGTGTGCGACCAGATCTCACCTTCCCGTCCTCGGAGCAGATGCCCACATGCTCTCCACTTTCATCCAGACTGATCTGGTTGATCTTCACTGAACTCTGCGGAGAGAGAATATCGCGGCATCTTTCTTTAGGGGGGGGGGGGGTGGTTATCATTGTGGTTGGCCAAATGCTGCTGGCTGACATTTGAACCCATCTAAGTGAAATGCCACGAAAAAAAAAAAAGCAAACGGGAAAGTGGCTGCCTGACCCCATATGCGTCTGTCCACGAAAAAACTGAATGTTTGGGGGTTCCTTTAACAAAGCTGTTCATTTAAAAAGACCAGAACGAAGCCTTTGCCTACACGTATCACAGTTACAGTGTCTCCTCATTAATGACTATCCTCTTTTTTACCGAAAAATGACCATGTTGAATTTTTAATCTAGTTCTCATACTGCTTAAACTACTCTTAAGACTGATTCCCTACATACTAAGGAGAACTTTGGAACTGCTTTCAGACCCTAAGCAAACGTTGGGCTGTTGTGTTGCAGGGCAGCTAGTTTCTTTTTAAATCCAATAAATGAGGAGAAAATCTATCTTCTATCTAAAATAGAAAAGATTGGAGTTATTGCCAATAGGCAAAACAACCAAATCCGGATAGCCTCACTGTTAAAACTGTACAGCACAGATGGGTTTGCTTAACAGGGGAGCATTTCTGTTGAACTGTTGTTGATATTTCTTTTCCATTAAATTAAATAGTGATTGGATTCAACTAAACCTGACGGCTAAAAACTCTTCCTCTGATGGAAGATCTAAAAAGATTTTTCTTTTAGCAAAGAGAAATGCTTCATATTAATAACTGAAAGCAAATGATACAGATGTTTTAAAAAACAATTTCCTTTGATTACCAACAAGTGGGCCTTTAAGATATTTTACGGTACTCACAATTTCAAACTTCTGCGTTACATTTCCCTGGATGTCCAGCAGGAAGACCTTTCCAAAGTGGGTGCCTAGAGCCAGAAACTGGAAAAAAAAGAGACTAATGTAAATTAAACCAAAAGAAACAGGAATCCAATTCAAGATTTTTGGGTAAAAAAAAAAAAACTGTGTTCATGAAGGCTGCGGGAAAAGGATAAAATATATTTCCTGGAGCTGCAGCGACATGGACAGAGAGGGGATTGGGTGGGCTTGGAGGCAAAACTGTGAAATTGCAGAGGGTGGAAAAGCCCTATTTATTAAGGCAGACAGTGTGAAATGGTATTTTTTCCCCTCAAATTAAAACGCTTAAGCATAATAAATGCACTGTACATTTGACTTCTTCCCGTGCTCCTCTCCACGCAACCCAATCACCTCTTAGCTCAGAAGACGTATTATTTTTTCCTTCCGAGCAGCAACTGGTTTCTGTGTTTTGTGCTTCGGCAAAAAGTGCTCATTCGTGTGTGTGTGTGTGTGCGTACGTGTGTGTGTGTGTGCAAGCGTTCGAGTCCACAGGGACAAAAAAAATTACACAAACCGGGGGGCTCCTGGCATTAGATTAAGTGTGTGTTCTTCCACCCCAGCCCGTGCTCCTCGCCCCCCCCCCCCCCCACCACCCCCCATAATCCCCCTCCCTTCCGGACCGGCGTGTGGCTGTGCGGCGAGCCCACCATGCTTCAGTGCAGTCTATAATGAAATGCTTATATTTACAGGCACAGCTGAGCGTGTCAGACAGAGCCCCCTGCAATCTCCCCCCAAATAAAATAACCCCGAAATAAATAAATAAAAGGTTCAACCTTGTGAGGCGGAGCGACTTTTAAAGGGATTTATCGGGACGGAATTGTTCAAATGAAATTCTGATTCAGACACTTAAAATATGAGGCAACGTAAGGCAATGTGCGGCTTTAAGGTGGTGGGAGTTTGTTTGCTGGGGGGAGGGGGCCGGTGTGACCACACGTGTAGCTGGAAGGCTGAAGACACAAACGCAAAGAAATCCTGAGAAAAAGACAAGAAAATGAGAGACAAATATATTTAAAATCTCCATAAAAGAAGCCTCTCGCTAGCGTCTGTCTTGAGTCGAAGAAAGAAAGGGGACCAAATCCTCCAGGAAGAGAGAAATAAGCGAGAATCAATGGGGGTTAATAAAACATAGGTGAGGAGATGTAAGCGGGGGTGACTTTTGCTCTGCTCAGGCGTGCAGGTGTGCTGCTGGTGCCACCGCGATTTGGCATCTTTCGGAGAGTGGCCCTCTAAAAAAACACCAGCATTCAGCGAAAAACATGGAAGAGTGGGAATAAAAAGGAGGAGAAGACAATGGCGCCTTTTGATGCACCTCCCTGAGAGGGAAAGCCAGAGGAAGGTGAGAAAGGAATGGCCTGTAGTGTAGGATTTGGAAAACAGGACGAAAGCCGACAAAATGTGCGCGTGTAGAAAGTGAGATCTTGTCTGGAGGGGTCTGGACTGGAGAATGGAAGGCCCTCGTGTGGAGTGGACTGTGACCTTTACCTTGTCGTGGACGGTCATGCAGCTGGCCGCGTCGTTCTGGAGGATTTCCGTCACCCCGTTGGAGAGCCTCTCGTACTTCAGTTTGGGCTCCTCCTCGCTGTCCTCCTCCTGCTCAGAAGAGTGAGAAGAAAGGGCTCTCAGTGGAGCCCTTTCTTGGAAAGTACTCGTTCCAAACTAAGATTGAGAAAGCAATCACCAAAGTCTTCCCTTGCAGTGAGCTTGAATACACAAGATGTAGAGCATCCCCGTGTTGCCTTCAAACCTGTTATTTAAAAAAACGAGTGGGGAGAAGCTCACGGGGGGACTTAACTTCCCACTCTGGACTCAAAGTTACTCCATTTAGCCTGAACCGGTGTCTCTGCGTACTACCATGTTAACACAACAGTCTGTATTTACCACAGTTTTATTCACATGCCATTAGAGACAGTTAAGTTGACCATTACTTACATTCTAGTGACTCAAAGTGAGAAATCTTTTTATGTTTTCTTTGAGGGTAGAAGATGTTAACAAAAGCTTTGTTTAAATTAAAACGTTTGAAAGCTTGAATACAACCCGAAACCTTCCAAAATGGTGATTGGACTTGTGTGTGTGCGAAGAGTCCCGATTTCCATAACCCGGAATGAAATGCTAAATAAAACAATTTCCTTCGTTTACCGGTGCCGTTCATCCCCGGTGACTCGCATGGACTGGTTGTTTTCATAAAGCAAACTTAAGGTATTCCGCCACCTTACGCTCTCCGGCGTGAGTCGACATCTGCAGCCGGTCACAGCCTGAATATTACCCATAATTCAGTTTTATAACCGATGCTGCACAGTCGCTGGCTGCCCGGAGGGTGCATCAACTCAAAACATTGTCCTCCATTATGTGCTACTGGGTTGGAGGTAGGAGGGTGGGAGGGGGGGGACAACGGCGTGGAAAAAAATGTTATTTTCAAAAACAATCCTTTCCCACTCAACAACGCCACATCTAGGCTATTTCCTGTGTATTCTGGTTGTGAGATTTCTGATGCGAGGGCATTTGTCACGGGGGTTTCAAAGGCGTATCAAACAACAAAAGGCAAACTTCATCCCCACAGAGAAAAATACTCATTTTAAAACTTTCGCCATCTCTCGTAAGTTGCTCTTTGTTTTGTCGACAGCAGAAGTGGCTTCGCGCTGTAACCACTTATGTCATTTTCTTTGCCAATTGACAGTTTAAATCCAACAAGGTGAACGGTTCGTTGTGACTACATCAAGGGAAAACCCTCCGCCGTAAGCACACGCAGGGACGACTCCACCAGTCAAAGATTTTTAGGATGAAAGACAGAGAAAGTCCCCTTTAGTAGTAAATAAAATATCTTTTCTTCCTGCCATCTACCACAGAAAACACGATAATTAAAAGCAAAACCTGACAAAATATGCGGAAAAAGCGAATACAATATGAACTACTTCAGCTGTACCGCCTTTGTCATCAGGTACAGATGCCAGCGGATTCTCATTCGTCAGGTCATGGTTATCCAAAGAGCTTGAATAAGTGAAATTACATGGATAGTTCTTGATTCTTGAGGACATTTCACCTCAGTATTTACATTGATGGTGAAAAGCATCAGTTTCTGGTCGTGAGCCTTCATTCACGACTGAATAAAGCTTTGGGAGGAGACAAAACTAATATCACGTTTCAAGAAAAAATAAAACTCGGCTTCCTTTATTTACATTGAGATGATACAGATGACCCCTCTCGTTCTGAGGTCAAGATGTAATACAACTCACACAACCACCACTTCTGATGACTGCATTGTATATTGCATGACATTTAGAGAGAATGCAATATTCAAGTGATTGCAGCTCTTCAGAAGATGCTCAGCTTGTTGAATATTACATAATGTTATGCGTGTCTTTTCTTTTGGTTTGCTTATAGAAAAGTGGCTGCAAAATGCTGTGGTCCCTCAAAAGACTGCTGACTATGGATCACCAATGGAGCAGAAAGTACCTACATTTCTGCATAAATAATAACAAAACACCCTAAGTAGTTTATCAGATAATTTGAATATAGAATAAACTCTGCAGTGTCATACGTCTGAATGCAGAAATCTAGATTAGCTGTTCTATTTATAGTTCAGGTGGCATTTAGCATTCTTGGCCGATAGGATGGTAATCAGGTGTGGGAATTATCACAGTAAAAGTAGACCACTGCATGATCAATCATCTCATAAAATTACTACGTATTATTTTGAGAGGATCCACACACACATTTATACAAAGAGTTTCCTTTCATGGTACTAAGGCTCTTCTCCCATTGGTAGCTTAAATGAGAAACATTCTGTTCACAGACAGAAAAAACACAGTGGTGGTAGTATCATGGTTTGGTCATGCATACATAGGTGTTCACAAATTTTCAATGGTCACCATAACTGGATGGATCAGTTTGATTTTATTTAAGTTTTAGCTCTCTGCTAATTTATTTGAGAAAATGCTGTGTTTTTCACTGCCCATACCTAACAATTCAATCTATTATCTGTTCTCTAAAAAGATAAATCTAACTTCCTGCCGGGCTGGCGTGTAATGCTATGTTTTATTTATCCTCCGTGCCATTCTCAGAGGCACAGGTGTACTGTAACATGCTGGAGTTCAGTCATATTATTGAAGGGTCTGGAAAGTTATCTGTAATTCATGAGTGTTTGACATCTTTCAACACCTGACAAAGATTCTTCGGGGATCAAGCTGTGTTGGTGTATTACAGTCCTTACTGTGGACACAGAGCTTTATGCCAGTGGAAATAATTCCTTTTTAAGTCACCCAAGCTTGACAGAATCAAACACACCCCTAACACGGACAATATATAGGTGATTTCCACATTGACATACTGGTGCTACTGCATATCCTTTTTTTTAACCTTTGTATTGTTTATAAGCTTCACATAAAACTATTCAAGCTCCAGCCTCTTGTTTGTGGAAGAAAACAATAAAAATATGATGCAACGATGCATTTCTTACCTCGGATTCATCTGTGAATTCCTCACTTGGCTTCCTCTCCTAAAGAGAGAAATATGTTGAGCTGCTTTGGGTAACACAATGTAAGTTACCTATGCTATAGCAGCAACACAGCAACATTTGCAGATTTCGTGGATTTAAACCTCCAACAGTTATTTAAAATGGAACACAATCTTTATTTAGATTGTATGCGAATATGAAAAGATTGTGAAGCTAAAGTAGCATTCTTAATTGTTCTATTCCACGGTACAATATTATAAAATGACAAACTAATAAAACAGCCTGGACAATATCTCCTTATTAACGTGATGATGATACACATGAGACATCAGAATTATGCAGCTAGCTTTAGCATCTTACCTGGTCCTCCACTTCCGCCATTGTGAGAACAAATCATATAATTTCCGTGGCCAACAGTTCTTATATCTCAGTGGATGTTTTGAAACACATGTTAAATCCTCGACGAAGTTTGCTTCATGTCAAAGCACCCAGTAAATGTTACAACAACGTGATGTTTGTTATCGAAGCCTGCCTCTTGTCATCTGTTAAATCACATGACTGGAGCGAGACCGTAAAGCATTCTGGGTATTGGAGTCTTGAGGCAAAGAATCAACGCCAACCGTCGAGTGTTGAAACTGCACTAATGATTACGGACAGGTGAATTTTTCATAAATATACATTTTGTCCTTCAAGCGTTAATAATACTTCATTTGCAGCTTTTCTTGGGTTAGTTTTTCTTCATAAAAAGGGGTTAAAATAAATGTATACACACTTAAACTGGTACGTTTGACTACAATTCGTATACCCACATGTGTTTCATCAATTTAAATTAGCAGTTTTCGCTGCAAATTGAAATGTTCAATGTCTATTTGTTCGTCCTCCTTTGTAAACTTTTTGGAAAGGTAACTTTATATCGCTTTCATCGGAGTTATTAGTTTGTTTTGAACATTTTCCTTAACAGTTGCTAATGAACAGAATTGGTTTTATTAGAAGAGAGGTCCAGCAGAGAAACAGAAATTCTTGTTTCCTATCTCCATACTTTAGAGCCAGTTCCATGACTTGGTACAGATCAGTTGGTGTTGGGACCTACTTTAATTACACTTAAAATTACACTTCAGATGCACTTTATTAGCTAAATTAAAACCTCTTATTACCTCTTCAGCTGACTTTAAAGCTGGACTGCGATATACATCCTTAGATAAATTAGCATCAGAGTTTTTAGCAGAACTTACACGTGCAAACTGCACAAAAGGAGCTGGGATTTAGGAAGATATAGTTGTTAAGATACAGGTTTAGAGTATATCCTGGGTTGGAGTTATTCAATCCAAAAAATTGAAGTCAAAGTTTCACATCTTGAAAAACCTTAAGATTCCCAAATGAAACAAGATACAAAAGTCTCTAAACACGAATTCTCTAAATATTTTTGAGCCAGGCTGTAATAACGCTGTAATAACGGTACTTTATTTGTTTTGTATATTTTACAGGCATTCCTGAGCGCGAACCCTTCGGATATTGGAAGGCTTCTCCCGCTCCTCCGTCACTCCGCTGACAGCCATCGTCCAGCTGAATGCCAAAGGTATGATTTGCCTCTTCTTTATTGAGATTGTCTCACACCCCTCGTCATGCCTCATCCATCCTCAGGAGAATCCTAATGCACTGATACCAAGGGGGAATAATTCTTTTTTTTTCTCTCTCTTCACAATCTGCTTAGCAATGATTTATTGATTGTGGCTTCCACCCTCGCAGAGAATTACCGATCCTTTTTGGGAAATCAGATTTTCACACCTTTGGTGAGTGTGTATGTGGCACAGGTCCCAGGAGGCAGTGTGAGGGGAAACTGACTTTGAGGAGCAGCCGTGTGTGAACCTCCGGGCTGTCACTTCTCTGCTGCCCATGCTACGTCCAGCGGATAGCTCCTGTGATTCTCCATCTCTCTCTATAGTTTTGCATTATTTATTGGTGGATAAATACGGCCCGGGCGTGATTTCGTACGTGCTCATTCCCCTCTCAAATCATTAAAACACGCGGTCTGCACTAATATTACGGGGCTTCCAGAGCTCCTCTATGGTTTAAGCATCTTATGGCCAAAAAAGGAAAATAATAAAAACAGCCCTTGCCCCCATAGGAGGAGTCAGATTAGTGCAGTGAAAGCTTTGATGCTCCAGAATGTCAGCTCCACGGATCGATCGGGCCAAAAAAAAACACACACACACACACCTGACCAATCAGAGGCGGCTATCTGTTGTGGACCTGCTGGGCGCCGTGGTTTACAAGCTTCAAAGAGCTCCTTTTAATACACTGCTTTGATAGCCCTCAGCCCTCACTGACCCACCGACCGTCCACCGGGGAGCGTTTTAGCTTTAGTGGAGGAGAGAGGCATAACTGTTGATCATATTAACAAGCTCGCAATGAGAGGAAAAAAAAAAGAGAAAGAAAATCATTTCAAATTTAGCTTATTTTTTACCGCCGGCCTTCTGTTCCAAGAGTGCGCTCCGGCGTTCTGGATGAGATTATTTTTCACTAAATCACTGAGTTTCTCAGCTGCAGAAGTAAATATTTAAATGCAGATGGAAGCTTTTGGGGAAATGGTCATATAAAAACACAACAATGCTGTGTGTGTGTGTCTTTAGATAGGGGAACAGTTTGGTTATTAACCCAAAGGGGGAGACAAGCCACCAAGCTTCATTGAACACCAGCGTCTTGAGATTGTGCACTCAATGTAGCAAATACACTCATAAATATATTTGATCTATCAATCAGGATTCAGTTTTTATTAGTTTTTTTGCAGCTTTTGTCAAAATCACTCGTCTGATATTCCCTAAGTGTTATGTGCTAATTTGGTTTCTGTCCTATATAGTCCCAGTTAATTTCCTGTTACCAAGAAAAAGAATTCCTGATCTTTATCTACAGCATATCTTTAATTCACATAATCAGTCATTTCATGAACAGCTTTAATAGTAAATAAGTCGCTTGATTTGAGTTTTAAATCAGATCAGAGAAGATTAGTTTTTACACAGCTCACACATATGTCTTTAATAATTTAGGATGAACAATTAACATACATTACTGTTATCAGAGACAAGTGTGAATTAGATTAAGCTATATTGGGGTAGTCAGAATGGCCGTCATTAATTTGTTTTTTCTATTTTTTGCTCCCAGGCTGAATTCCCTCATCCAGTAAGACTCTTTCCATGGCTATCTGATGACACCCGAAACCCTCTGCTTATCAGTGATTCTCCTACCACCAAGGGTATTTGGTGAGCAGGAGGCAAAAGGAAAGGGGGGGTGGGGGGCTTCAAGTGCTTTTCCTTGTTCCATCAACCTGTTCCTGAGATGTGGCCAGACTCAGTGAATTGAGGAGAAATCAAACAAACTTTCTCCCCCAATGTCTGTTCCCACAACCATTTTAAACACACATTCATAAACGGGCATTTTTCTGTTTTTAACCTGGGGCCTGAGGCAGGTAAAGAGAACTAAGATAATTTGTTTAATGTCCAATCCTAAGAGGCATTCTTGAATTTTATTAATGTTTTCCCAGCATTTTTACAATTCGTCATCACACCAACTCTATTTCTCCAGCAGTTTATACGAGTAAAATCTCCTAATTTGGTGACAGGATTGCAAATCAGGAAGGATAGCTTTTTCTTAAGTAATTACCAGCTGATAATGGCGAGATGGTGAGAGATGTGTCGCTCTCTTATCCCGGAGCGTCAGAGGCCAGAGGAAGATTAGAGCCCTGATCTCATTCCCGGCACTTGTTTGGAGTCTGTCAGGAAGAGAAATGCCAGCATTAGAGAGGTACCGCCACAGTCCTGATATGATGAAATAAGAAGAAAAGAGGAAAGGGAAAAAAAGATGGAGGGATGGACAGAAAGGACCCTGCCCTTCTCTGAAGTGTCACCAGCTTGTTTATTCTATTTTTCATTGTAGCTGCTGGGGCAAAGATTCCCATTTTTCCCTCATTTCCCCCCCTCCGCCCGCCCTCTAACAAAAAACACTGCTCTCATTTTTTACAGGTCTCGCAAACTCTCATGCCCCGGTGAAAATTACATTGTGAAACGGTAGAAATTTCAGCTCGCTGCTGTCCCTCTGAGCTTTCAAACAGGCAACAGACTGTGAAGAATAAATAATAAAAAACTATTGATTATTTTGATGACTGCAAGATTCAATTAGGTATTAATTTTGCCCTCCAGTGGACCTATCAAGCAACTCAAAAGGAGAGGGGGCGGGAGGCGGGGGGTGTGGGGTGGCGGGGGGGGGGGGCATGCAGAGTGCGTCCAGGCTCAGACAGAGGGGAAAATGTGTTTACCTCGGCGGGCAGAGAGGAGCATCGACGTGCAGTGTCCCACATTTAAGTGCCTCCCAAATGAAGCCCTGATGACTAGTGACATTGTTAGCAGGGATATGAGTATTGACCAGTCGGCTTTTTTTTTTTTTTAACGACAGCTTAAACTGCTTCTATTGATTAACATTTTCATAGATTATCATGTGTCATATCGGAGAGGGCAGATCCCCTTGATGGGCACATTAAAAAGGCCCCTCCGGGTAAGAGTTCATCGACCACCCCGACTGAAGCGCTCGGTAAGAAAAGTCTCACCCCTTTTTTTTTTCTCTTTTCCGTGGCCATATATATATATATATATGCCGCGGTCACCTGTCGGCCGTTCGGACGTATTTAGGTTGGGCTGGATTCATAAATAAGAAAGAGGGTCGTTGTCCTGCTGCTCTGCGTCTGTGGCTCAAAGCCTGAGGTGGAGTTTAGCGCCGTCTGAGGCGCTTTCCAGTCAGAAGACACAAGGGGGAAGAGACAGAGAGTGAAAGTGAAGGAGGGGAGTGGGGGGCATGGGGGGGGGGGGGTTGGTTGGGCAGACGAGGGAGGAGGTGACGTCTTCTGGGTTTGTCTTAGGAAACAACCCCAGGCCTGAACCTGTGGTCCCCATTCGGATACAGGAAGGTGGAGGAAGCTGCTTTTTAGTGAGCAGGAAGCATGCTGTAGTTTAACCGTTTGTCTGATTTCAACATCTGGAGCTTCTAAAAAACCCCTTTTTCCCCCTCAAGTCTCCACATCTGAAGGTAAGAAACGATTTAAAAAAAGCTTCTCGATAAGTTTCCTTTAAGATATCTATTAATTAAGACCTGGCAGAATTGAAATCTCTAATGCCTCTTAAATAAATGTCTTTGTTTTAAATAATTATTCATCAGTTTTTTCCAGGCAGAAAGGCTTTCTCTATTATGCCGAGATAACACTCTCATCATGTCATGTAAACCTCGGCCACTTTTAATCTAATTTAGTGTCCTGAAGTGAGTGAAAACGGCTAAATTTCACTTAAACGTCGAGTTAGATTTGTTTCGTTTATTTCTCCGCGCGCCTGATTGTTGTTGAGCTCGGTTTTTGCCAAAAAACGAGGCTCATGTGGGGTAGTTAGGAGCCCTCTGAGACGGATACATCACCGGTCCAGGGCTGCGGGGTGTAATGGTAAAAGCCACGCGATCCGTAACAGTTCTTCAGCAGGCAGCAGCCGGCAGTATCAGCGGGGTAGCACCAGCCTCAGATAAAAGAGGGAGGGAGCAGGAGAGAGAGAGA